ATACCCCATCCTCTGTAGTCCAAGAAATTCCAGCACGTTATTCCCAGCAGCATTTCAACATGAAGTATATTGTAAGGTAACTCCTCATCTGCTGCAGCTCACAACTCTTTTATTCCCAGAAGAGCAGTGTGGCTTTTCTCTGGCGCGCTGACCACGCGAGAGACCCGGCTGAGCGGTGGCTAACCGGCCCCGACCGGTCGGCGAGCTCCCGGAGCCAGAGAGAAACGGCACCGCCGCAACTGCAACACCAAGTCTGCGACTGCCTGGCCTCCCCGTTCGCATTGCGGCTCCGTCCGGCCCGCCTCACTCCCTTGCATAAAGCCGTAGCTGTGGCCACACGCTCTGCCAAGAACCTGCCCGGCTTTCCAACCCACCGGCCTCTCCGTGCAGCCAGGCACAAAGTTTCTGCTAACCGCACTACTGCGGACTCCTACACTTGTCGTAAATTCAGAAGCTGTGGAGAGCTCCGTTGTGAAATATTCTGAGGCACGAACGAGGACGTGGTACAGATGCTGCAATGCAGCATTTATTTAGCCAGCTCCCACACTAAACAAGCACATCCTCTGCAAGCACAATTCTTTCTAATTGGGGTCAAGCTAAATTTAAGTTCTATTTGGTTTCCTTTGAGAGAAAAAAATTATGGGGAAAAAAAGTCACTCTACCTACAAAGGGAACAAGGCCTCCTCCTCACGAGTCAGGGATTATGCTGTATTTGCTGCATCTCTCAGCTCCATAAAACAAACTAGCGTGGCAGGTGTCAACAGCACCAAACCAACTGGGAACATCTCTCAGGGCGATGAAGAAACAGCTACTCCCTGCTAAGCTTGGTCTGCTTCCAAATGACGCTTCCTTGGCAGGGGAAGTATTCGAAACCCAGAAGGAGCCAACACATGAATAACGCACTAAAATTAAATGGAGACGGGCCTCTTAGGGCAGGCTCCGTTGGGCGACTAGGGCCGACTGGAGAAACATTGTGCAAACCAACATACCCGAAGGGAGCATCACCACAACCTTTGCTAGATTTAGACCCAACAGAGAAGCCAAAAATCCTTCCCAGCAAAACTGGTTTTACTCCTACAGGTCCCAGCCCATAATTCAGTACCGACATGTGACAGAGAAGAGGAACCAAAAGGACAGACCGCTGTTACTTTCTCTGGAAGCAGCACACCTATGTACACGCCAGCCCAGTGACCAGGAGCACCGTGGCTCCTAATTCCCATTTTCCAAAGCAGCTTGGAACACAGATGATTTTGAAAAATAATCCTGTGATCTGCCCGTGACTCAGATCCTCATCTAAGAAAGCGGACAAGGAAGCTTCCTTCCCCTCACTGCTATCTTGTCTACAAGGGCCTTTGGGAAAGGACTGTTTCACTCCACGCGGAGGTCTAACTCCTACCGCACAAGGGCTCCATCATTGTTTGGACAGCTCAAAGTGTCAGCACACTACCAACCGGAATTAAAAAAAACAACACACAACCAAACCCAAAAACCCAGGACACTGCCCGCCTCCAGTTGCCAGCCCAATAATCACCACAGTCCCCAACATGAATCACCAGGCATACAGAAAGATTTTAAGGCACAGTACTCACCCCTACCGCTGTTACTGCAAACTATTACCTCCCTCCCTATACCTGCTTATAGCGTTACTTCTCAGATCCATACACGTCAATTAAAAGAATGACAAACCGCATCCTCATCAAAAATGAAAAGGCAGTAGCAACACCAGCCTGCTTGCTCCACTCATCCCATCTTACCCAGACACCCTCCCCTAAGGAGAAACTCCAGTAAACAAACAGATTACACCCTGAGGTTTAGCAGACGCAAGTTCTGTCACGCCAGCCTGAGAGGAACCTTTCAGGAGAGAGAGTGCGCTCTGCCTCAGCGCAAGGCTAATCTCAAAAACTCAGGTGAACGAAGACAAAGGCGTTGCTAGTTCAGAACTCGGCGCATGCTGAACGTGAAGCGAGTGTACGGAGCTTGGCAGGGTGGCATCACCTGGGCTCTTGCTCCGTAACAGTAAGACGGGTCACATTTCTGTATCGCCTCCCTCCTATGCATCTCACGCCAATTTATCCTCCTTCTGAAAGAGGCGCACTGGATGCAGAATGAGAGTGATTACTTGCTGAGCCCACAGAAAGACGACATACCGCAGTAGGTGAAACATTCCCGCTGTGTTTGTAAACTCCCTTCTGGGTATACAGACACACGATCGCAAATACACTCTCCTAAGCTAAGCAATGCCAGCCAGCTGCCTCAACATAGCGTTCGGTAAAAAAACATCAGACCTATTTCAGTTTTTGTCCTTCCTGATCCCTTTTGTTCTCTCGGTCTGCTCCCCTCTCACCATTTCCTACCTAAAAGACAAGCAAAGCTTCAGATGTTCATGACTGCAAAATTGGGACGGCTCGTGTTGTTTCACAGCGAATTCTTGAGAATTTAGGCTTTGTCAGCTTCCCAAAGCTGACCATTAATAAAATTCTTAACATAACTCCAGTTTGGTTCAATATTGCATTTCTGAGGAGCACATGAATGCCTTGCAATTCATTTCAAACACTGTGGACGGTGTCCTCTTCTCCTTCAGTCCTGCTACATCTTTTGGGTAATGGACAGCAACCCATCAAAACTAGCATTAACCTAAACCAATCTATGAGTGTGTTGGGTTCTTTTTTGTTTTCTGAACTGAGATGTTTTGTCTTGTATTCCTGAAGCATTACCAGTAGGTACCACGCACAGATTTCAGCTAGAGTACTCCGTGCTCCTATAAAAACACTTGTTTATGTTCTGGTTATGGGGTGAAGGAGCAGGGCTGCGCATCTTTGCTCTATCTAATGCAACTTGGGGTCTCCTGTGATATCTCAGTCTCCTTTCAGCAGATCAGCGCTGCAGTCGGCTCCAAGACTGAGGAACGTTAATGCTACAGAATGAGGGAATCTTAAAATGCTGTGCATGCAACGGAGCTTGATTCACAGGAACCCAGAAACGTCTCCACAAAACCAACCCCGGGGATTACGTCACTTGGAATACAGGTCAGAGAGCTGACTCACACAGAAAAAAACCAATCCTGCTGTGTGAAATGGAGACATGCCCCTGTTAGCAACATTCAGTTTGGATCTGCTTCACTCCAGGGAGTTAGGAAGGAGTTATTAAATCAAGGGTGAAAGCAACCGGTAACTTCTCAGATGGAGAGACCTCATTAGCACAGCTCAGTCACAGTCACTCGGTTGCACGTGACGGGAGGGGAGTGACCAGAGCAAGAAGTGAGCTCCTAGAGACTGTCAAACAGGAGCCTCCAGTGGAGTTAGAACAGTTTAGTGCAGCTCAGGATGTCTCTTTTATTGCTAAATAAAATGCGCACCCCTTAAAGCCAGGGGAAGAAGTCAGCGCAGAGGGCAGGGAAAAGCTTTAATATTGCTGACTTGCGCCTAACTAAAATGGACAGGAGGAGGGCTGGGGTTAAAAGAGAATTCTCTTTCCCATTAATGAGCTCACTCTGCTGGCATGTCTCCTGCCCTCCAAGATCGCTCCCACAGCAG